GTTATCTTGACAAGGATTATGTTCTACGTTATAGTGTACGTATCTTATTCTCTACATATCTTTAAAGGATTATTTTTTAAACAAAATTTAAATTTAGTTGAAGAATTGTTATTTTGTCAGCAACATTTGGATTGGGAATTTGTTAGATATTTTATTAATTATGTTTATATATTCTTTAATAGGCTATACTTAGTACATATTCAATCAAAATAATGTTTATACCATATTAATCTTAATATAGACGAACAGCGAAAATATTCTACGAATTATCATATTGATAGTATCTGTCTAAAATTACAAATCTAAGATAAGTACAATCTATAAACTCTATCATGACAGTAAAATACAATACAATAATACAATTCAAAAAGTTCCAAGTGCAAAATCATTCATCTGAAGAAATATACTCAAAAGTCAATTCAATTGATTTTAATGCAATTTTAATGCAAATCAACTTCTGTATTTAACGAATACAGTTAACGTTTTAAGAAGACTCACTCCTAATCACGAATCCGGTGTCAGAATTGAGCTATAACATCACAGGAAAAACAGGTCAAAAATAGTAAAATTCACTAAAAACTTCTAGGAAAAATACAAAATAATTTTTTTTCTGTATTCAAATGCTCATTTATATGATTAAGACCCCGTCGAACGTGATTCCGCAGTCAGAATTGATAGTTCTTTTTCTAACCTCAAAAAAACAGGTCAATTAAGGTCAGACCTATCACTAATTTTCAAAAAATAACAGATTTGCTCCAAATTTGGTAGACGGGGGTTTTCTGGACCGCTGATCACGGATCCAATGACAATTTTGCAAAATTCAAGATGGCGGATCCAAGATGACCGACCAAATCTTCAAAAAATAACACATTTGCGCCAAATTTGGTACACGGAGGTTTTCGGGATCGCTGTTCACGGACCCGAGGTCAATTTTGTAAAATTCAAGAGGGCGGATCTAAGATGGCCTACCAAATTTTCAAAAAATAACAGATTCACGCCAAATTTGGTATACGGGGGTTTTCGGGGTCGCTCTGTGGATTCTTGAGCAAATAAAAAATTATGAACATAATTTTAAAGAAACACAAAGAACATAATCTGTCAGTGAATTATGGGTTTTAAATTTACCTTACAGGGTGTAACTAAAATGCTGGATCAAACTGTAATGGCGGATTCTATGTCGCAAATTAACAAAAAAAGTCATACACACACTATAAACATGTATCCTTCCGGACACGTTTTCGAAGATGCAGGATGTTCAAAATTGTTAAAAATATATAGTTTGTTTCAGGTTGATTTCAGATGATATATTATACTGGGTGTATCACAATTAATAACGCAATTTGAAACAGCTGTAAGTACACGATACTAGAAACATCAAAAGTCTTAGTAAACATAGATCAGCAAACCGTTTTCGAGATATAGTATCAAAAAGAAAAAGATTTTTTTTTAGTTTTTTGATAATATCTCAGTAACCGTTTGAGATATAGAACCAAATTTTGTACACGTATTATTATTAACATTAGCTACTTTTGAGCGCTAATTAATTATGATACACCCTGTATAATTGATATTTAATTTTACTGCAACCTGAGCAATAACTAGAATAACGGTCAGTTCTGGCGACAAACACGAGAACCCTTTTTTGAGCAACATGTTATGTTCTATCATAATAGTTAAATCCATTATCTTGTAAAACAAAACAATTATAAACAAACTATGCCTCTGTATAAACAAAAACTGTGACATTCATATATCATTCTACCCACCTTATCTTGTTTACCTTTGTATTTAGGAAAAAATAGTAAAGAACACAGTTTTAGAAAATTTTCTTGCAATTTCAAGGAAATATATAAAAAACAATTGACTGTATTTCAATGGACATAAATCAGTTGTTTGTTTTTTTTTATCTGAATACAATTATTACATATAGATACATGTCTCATATTTGCTTTAATAATTTGCACAATATTTAGATTTATTTGCTGATTCTGCACATAACCAGGATTGCCACAGCGTTGGTATCTTTTCCGCAGTTAAAATTACTCAAAATTCTCCATTCTAAACAGTATCTTATTATAAAAGCCTTCTTCCTGGATATTTTGCCACATGTGGAAAAAAATTTTAAAAATTATTTACTAAAACCCTTCCACGTAAAAGGAACAGTAAAGGGTTATTTTTATGAAAATATTTTTACTTAACCAAAAATTTTACCTTGAAAAAAAGCAGACCGATACAAAATACACAAATATATATTTTAAAAAGTTGACTGCTCCTTTTTCATTATGAGATTATTTTCGTAAAAATGACTTTGACAGATCTTTTGACGCAAGTATTTATTTCCTTAATGTTTGAAATTATTGTCGTAGAATAGAGGCATAACAAGAAGAAGAAGCCCTGTTATCATAAATTTATTCCCTTACAACAAAAATGTATTTAAAATGTTTTCTTTGGCGTCATTATAAATCTTCCTTTATAAAACCGATACCTAACATTTTTAATAAAAAATGTATTTACAGACTTCTTCAGTAAATTTAATAGCGGAAAAATATAAATATGCTCTGGTTTCATAGCGATCTGACATAATCCATTGTGGAGGATCGGTATTTAAATCAAAATATTGTACAAACTATCAAATATAACGTGTATATATTACTGTAAATAGAAAAACGTGAAGATTCCAAAAAATATTCAAGATTTTCCAATTAAAAAACAAAAGGTTAGTTTATATCTTCAAAATTCAATACTTCAATTCTTTATATATTCTTTTGGAATTGCAAGAAAATTTCATGAAACTTTGATCTTTACTATTTTTTTCCAAAATGAAAAGGTAAAAAAGATATGGGTAGTAGAATGGAATTTATGGATAATGAAATAGTAAAGCACTAAATTTAAATGAAATATTTTGTAATTTAAAGAACTACAATTAATTTTTTTTCGAGGTCTTCTGGATCTAGATCTAGTAGATCTAGATCTCGAAAATTAATCATTTCTAGCCACATATTTAAGAGAATGTATAAAAACGAAAAATTTCACTTATCAAAGTTTTGTAAAAGAAAAACATTGTTCACAATTTTGAGTTCAGTAGGGGGGGTTGATTACTGTGGCTATAAGGTAATGTCATTATTGTCGTGTCTCTTTAGGGTTCTCTACACATGAAAATTATGAAGTGTCCGCAGTGTATCAAGACAATTAAATGTATGTAAAACTAATGTTCACAAAACTTTAAAAAAGCAACTTTAAAATTTAGATCCCAACGCACTTTTACAATTTTGCCGCTGATTGGTGAATGACTTCGCAGAAGATAATAATTTGCTTAAAATTGTTTTGTACTGACGAATCTTGTTTTACAAGGAACGGAGTTGTAAATTTTCATAATTTACATGTGTGGAGTGATAATGATCCTAAAGAAACACAACAATAATAACATTACCTGATAGCCACAGCAATCAACACCTTGTTTTCATCGCCTACTGATCTCAAGGTTTTAAATCCGTGACACTACCCAAACGGAAATATACACTCCTGCAAATAATGCCATTTTTCTCAAGAATGGTTTTCTGTAGCCGATTTTCTCAAGAGAATTTTTTTTGTTTAAATTAAACGACCTTTTCAATGCTGCTGCCTATTTTAAAAAAATACGACCACTGTAAAAGTTTTGACCGCTAAAAGGGAGAGATAACCGGAGAAAACTATAACGCAGTATATCGATTTGTCTAAATATATGTCCCAAATTTTAACGCGATCGGTAAAAGGGTTATGAGGTTATTAATTAAATTACTTTTATTATTGACAAGTTTGAAGGCTTTTAACTCAAAACCAAAAATTTTTTATTTAACTTTTTTTCGTATATCGTATTTATTGATCGTCGTGAATATGTAATCAAAGGTTGTCGTTGAAATTTGTGGACACCCTGTATTTAACTTGATGAGAATTTGAATTAATACCTTTAGAATAGTGTAAAATACCTATACAGGGTGATTCACAACTTATCCAAAAAAATTTGGGAATAGATGCGGCATGAGAAATGGAGTCAATATTGTAAAAAAAATTTTTGTAAAATCCTTATAGTTTCCGAGAAAAAAATTATTGAAGTTATAGCACATTAAACCGCTACATAGCTGGACAACTGTAGTCTCTAGCGTCATTCGCATTACGCGTGGAGAGCCATGTGACTCCTAATACTGAAATACATTGTTGCGGTAGTTTTTACCTGTTATCTGTGTTATTTACCATCAGTTTTTTAGTAGTTAGTGTCAAAAATGGCTTGCGTGTATAGCAACTCAGAGTTGATGGATATCGTTTTAATTTATGGTGAAGCAAGACAACATTTGTATTATGGTGAAGTATTTGTGTTATGGTGAAGCAAGACATCATTTGTGTTAGTTCGTAGAAAGTGAGTAAGACGGACCCAAATGTGTTTACACGTGAGTGGATAAAATTTTGAACAATTGCTGTTGCAGCATCGGGTATGTCAAATGATTTTATTATTTAAAAACACAAATTAATTTTATTAATAATTAATAAAGGCAAAAGCATTTGAATTTGCCGATATAAAATAGGTGCGATAAAATTCTATTTACATATTTCTTTCCTTGCGAAAGTTTTTGTCCGTTTTTATCACACCGCCATGACGGTCGCATTGTGCTAGGTCAGGTTTTACACTGGACCAGTTTCCAGTGCCGTGCAGAATTTTATTTTTAAATCAATTTCGAACTGACCTTTTTGATTTTTTCTTTACAAAATTGTATTTGTAAGGGTCCCCTGTACATCCAGAATTTTTTTTTGGATAAGTTCTGAATCACCCTGTATAGTGTAAGGTAAACTATTTAGAACCATGTACTAAGTACTAAGTCGTCAAAATTTGAAATAACCATAAAAGGTACGATAGTCTAGCCTACTCTTTTAACCAATATTAATAGCTATTTATGTAATCAGTCATGAAAAGTATGATTTTATGTAACGAGTGCAAGTATGCAAGACGCTGATCTATTCTGACGATATACCAAGGATATCGAAGAAGCGGCAAGAAATGCCGTATGTTCACTGATTCCTGAGAAATCCAAAGCGATATATGACTTGGCTTATGAAAAATTTAAGAAATGGCGTGAACTGAAGAAAGTAAAACATGTCAATGAGAAAGTACTATTGGCATATTTTGAAGGTAAGAAGAATTTGAAGGCTTCTGCGCTATGGACACAGTACTCCATGTTGAGAACTGAGCTGTCTTTAAAAAAATGTATAGACATTAAAACATACAATAGTTTGACAGCATTTTTGAAAAGGCATTCTGATGGATACCACGCTAAGAAATCAAACGTTTTTTTCAAAAGTAAATATTGCGAAGTTTTTGACGGAGGCGGATGACAATAATCATTTAATGGCTAAGGTAACTAATAATTGCTTCATTTAATTGTCAGTTTACTAATTCGCATTTTTTGCTTTAGGTTGTGTTGGTTGTGGGAATAGCCGGTGCATGTCGGAAGTCAGAATTAACATTTTTACGTGTTGAAGATGTTACAGATGAGGAGACGTATTTTCGAGTAAATATTCCAAATACGAAAAGTAGAGTAATTCGTGAATTTGTAATCACCCCCGGAGATATAGAAGGACTAAATTTCGTTAACATTATCAGGAAGTATAGAAACCTACGCCCGAAAAATATTAAACACAACGGATTTTTTGTTAGACATAGAAATGGTAAATGTGGTGTACAACCAGTAGGAATTAATACTATTGGTCAGTTACCAAAAATGACTGCTCAAATGATTGGTTTGCCGAATTGTGCATTATTCACGGGGCACTGTTTCAGAAGCTCTTCAGACACTTTACTTGCAGATTCTGGGGCCAATATTTTAAAAATAAAACAACACGGCGGCTGGAAGTCAGATTCTGTTGCAGAAGGATATGTTGAAAATAAAAAAACAATTTCCGGTGATATTCTTGGAGAACCGAGTAATATCAATAACATATATCACGGAATATTACTGCAATTTCAACAAATAAGATTTATTCTGGAATTACTTTCACTAACTGTACCAACTGCGTTGTCAATATTTATAATTAAATAATAATAATTAATAAAGTGTTATTTATAAAATTACTGACTTAAATAAAAGTTACTTTATTATTTTTCTGTTGTATTTTGTTTAATTCTTTCTTGCAATTAGTGACATAACGAACTTTTCGTAACCAGTTCCATAATGGTTTTCATTAGTTACATAAAATACATAGAACGTTTTGACACTTGATTCGGTAACAAAATACATTACTCTATACCTATGTCAAAATTAGAAAAACATGTTTTTTCGATGTTTTTCTATTCATTTTAGACTCATAAATTTTTATAATACCCTCACCCGTACCTAACTGTTATAAAAAATAGTTTTCTCTTAAATTATTTTTTAACAATTTACGGGGTTGACAACGAATACTGTCAACAATTAGGTAGATCACTCGTGTGTAATAATATGGACATCGTGTTTCTTTAAATGGTTAATAATATGGACAAGCATACAAATACTTTCTCAAAGTTATCCTACAAGCGTAAGTGAAGTCAAACAATGTTCGATGCCAGAAATCTAGATATGCAACCTAACCTCACAAACAAGACTGCTGATGATGCAGGAAACAACTAGGTACTAAGTATATACCATTAGCATTGAATTACACCAAACTAATAAAAACTAAAAATGATATGTCCAAATACATTTAACACAAAAACAGATAGGTACCTAATACACCGAAATTGTTAAACAATGCAATCATTCATACGTTTCTGTTTGTTCAAATATATTTTACAAACTTCTTGATTTCAATGTTTTAGGTTCATTTTTTATACCGTAGTAACTATGATAAAAAATCTTACATTGTCTCTGATTCAAATTCACTTTCAAAATCTGTTTGTCTTTTTTTACAAATGAAGTCTTAAATATTAATTTTGTATTTCTACAAATTATAAGCGTTCCATCACACAAAACGTTAATTTCATCTAAACTTACTTGGGGGAGAAGCCGCACTCAAGGCACTGCATCCCAAAATCAGGAGCACGTAAGTAATCATCTAAGCGTCAAATACACCCTCTTATGTCTACACAAAAAAATGACTGGACTGGATATACAGGTAAAGCTATAAAAGGATTATAAAAAAAATTCCATTATATATGAACTGAAATATGTAAATCCTTTTTGTTTATCAAAACTGATAGACGGTTAATTTATTTAATGATCTTCTGATTATTTAGACATGTTTACAGTAACATGGAAATTCGAAAGCTTAAGAAGCTTATTACAATCTTATCATTTTTTTTTCAATAGAGATCACTAAGTTCTATCCTTAATCCCTTACAACAACATGTATATACTATGCAAACTTATCAAAAATTATTTGTTCAATTTAATCCCTTACAAGTGGGGGAAATCAGGGTGTAAACTAAACCGAGAAATAATAAAAAAAATAAAAGAAACTTGAAAACTGCTCTATTAACGCTAGTGAAAAACAGTTGAAAATTCTAAGCCTGCTTCAATATTTTAGGAAAATTATTTTAGTGATTCCTTTATTCAAAATCTAATAATACGATATTATTCTAAACTCCTTTGCTTGACATATTGTGATTCCTTTTTTAACTATTAAAGATGAACTGTGCAAGAAGAACAACGAAAATTAAAAATCAACCTTTATCTGAATAGAAAAATGAAATAATAGAAATAAATGAAAACGTACCAAGAACTGCTTTAAATCTGTATATTTGCTTCAAGTAAATGATTTTATCATATATTTGTTAAAATATAGATATCCTTTTTCTAATTAGATTTGGTTGTATTTTCATAAAAAATCTCTTAGGGATCAAAATAAAAACAAAATAACGACCTAGTTAAACACCTACTGATACAAACCAAATTTTACGAAAAAAAGTGGTTCACTTAGGTATATTTAAATACTTTCAGCACCGCCTCTTTTAAATCAAATAAACCTAAAATATCAATTATGATATTTCAAAAATTTAGTCTTTATAATATTTATTATAATAAATATACAATAAATAACAGTCTCACAAAAAAAGAAAAGTGGTCTGTTCCAAAAATTAGACCCATGTATCTTTATGTTACCCTCAATTTTTTTAAAAAAACAGTCCTTAAATACAGAATATATGGAAAATTCACAGGCACACAAAACAGAAAAGTGGTCTATTCCAAAAATTAGACCCATGTATTTTTATCTCACCCTGCATTTCGTGAAAAACCTACCCTTAAATACAGAAAATATGGACAATTCACAGGCACACAGAAAAGTGGTATGTTCCAAAGACTAGACTTATGTATCCTTATGTATTTTGATGTGCTGAATCCGAATCCGGAGCAGAATTGGTTCATCAACCTCCATTTTTTTAAATCGCGAAAAACCGCCCTTAAATACAGAAAATACCAAAAATTTCACTTTGGAGGTATCAGCATTAGGTATATTTATATGTATTTTCATACGCTGATTCGGAATTCAGAATTGCTCCATCATCCCCCAGTTTTTTTAAATCGCCGAAAAAACACCCTTAAATACGGAAAATTCCACTCTAGTGGAGTATAGCATTTGGACCAACTATAAAAAGAGAATGGAAGTTACTGAAGGGCCATATTTATCTGTATTTTGACGTACTGAAGCCATATCCGAAGTTGAAATTATCCCATCACCTTTCAGTATTTTTATACCGTGCAAAATAAATCTAGGAAATTTCTTCCCAGAGAAAGATAGAACCTCAGCCATGTGATGCCCAGAGAGATGAGGGTTTTCGAAGATGTGAGCATCGTTTCCAGAGAAAAAATGATGTTTCTTTTACTCCATTTTCCTTTTGTAACGAACTCTTTTTTCCTTCAATCTATTCATCTTTCTCTTTTCTGTGTTTTTCCTCTTAAACATCCAACAGAAATCTGACATCATATTAATATCCCGCCTTCCTAATATCTCACCATTCACCATTTTCTTCGGTGTAATCTTCCCCAGTAAATGCAATTTCAAGTACATCAGGCAACTGATTGAAGTTTTCCAGCAATTCCTCAACTAGGTAAATTCTTGTAATTCTCACTCTTCTGCTTCCCCAAGAAATTCTAAGTGACTTTTTTAAACTTAACCATGCTGCTCTTTCAGTATCATTTATTTTTGTGATAAATTTTTCGTCTTTGAAGATGGTACGGATTTGAGGACCATCAAAAATACCTTCTTTCTGTTTAACATCACTTATTTCCAGAGACTTCTCTCCCAAAATATTCAAGACAGTCCCCATCTTTGTCCAAAGCTTTAACGAGCTATTTCATGAGACCATGAATATTTGAAGGATCAACTAAGGATGCACGGATGCTATTTTTTAACCCTGGAAGGGAATCTATTCCCTTTGGCCATACTTTTTGTTTATAGTGATTCTTTCTGTGTCTAATATTCCATAGATATGATGAAAGATGAAGTTGGTCTTCCTCTTGATTTGAAAAATATAATTTGCCGTATTTTCTGTATTTAAGGACGGTTTTTCGCAATTTAAAAAAATGTAGAAATGGGATATTCTATCCCCAGATTCGGATTCAGCGCGCGTCAAAATACATAAGAATACATGGATCTAATCTTTGGAACGTACCATTTTATTTTGTAGAGCTGTGTAATTTATCCAAATAACTTTCCCTATAACGCTGCTTTTCTATTTTCTTACCTAGCTGACAATTTTAAATAACATAGTTTCACTTTGAATCACTTTTTTACTTATTTTTATATATTACATTTACTACACGACACTGTTTTTAAAATTGTTATTTTTTCAACACCTTTTAGCGCTATCAATAGTCGTGCGCTATAAATAAACATGAATTTATTATAAAAACGAGAAAAACTAAATTTCAAATTTAAAAACAATAAGTTATGAGCAATGGTTTGTTAGCACGGGAAAATTGGGATAATATCCAATCAAGGGGGGTGTTAGGGAATCATATTCATTATTTTTAAATACACTTAATAATGCAATAAAAAATATACTCCAAACCAAAAAGGTTTAAACCGTGGAAACCTTTAGGATTAATAAAGTCTATTAGACTAAAGGATAATATGAAAAATATTGTCATATATCATATAAATAAAAATAAATTTATTAATTAAACGAAAAACGAGTACTATAAGGCAAAAATTTCAAAGTCAAAAGAGGACTGCAAAAAATATGAAATGTCGGAAATGAAAGTCTAAAATTTTTGAAAACTACTTAAAAACGAGGTTGACTGAGTTTTAGATGAGAATATTATTATTCAGTAATAATCAATTTGGGTTTAGGTTTAACAAAAATACTGAAAATATTGGTTAATGAAATAATCTCTTATATTAATAATGGAAAAAAGTGTATTGCTAAATTTAACTAAGACATTCCACACTATCTGTCATAATATATTACTAACAAAATTACAAACTTAATATTGAAGTAAAGGGACATAGGTTAGATTTATTAAAATGTATGTAAAATTCCGAATTCAATAAGTTAAAATAAATAATATATGTAAAAGACTGGAATTAGGAACAGGTACGCCACAAGGCGCTGTTCTGGGATCTTTTAATGTGATGTACATTATGAAATTGCAAATTTAATTTATACATTGGCCAGGTGATGATACCATTATAATTCCTATAGAAATGCAGAAAGCCAGTTGAAAATTACACTGTGGTTAGGTAACAATAATTTAATTCTTAATTATTCCAAAACTAACCATCGATTTCTCTTATAATTTTGGGATTAAAACTACGACATTGAGACAAAACTTCAACCATCGCAAGAAAATAGCATAAGATCAGATCATCAAAATCAGATTACTGTCCCCCCTCACCCTCCTTACTAGCCAGACCTGGCTCCTTGGGATTTTTTCTCATTTCGGAAATTAAAATCAGTGTTCATACTGTTGATAACATCAAAGCAAATTCTTCACACACTTTAAAGGCCACTTCAAATGAAAAGCTCCAGGACTGTTTCGCGAAATTAAATCGTCGCTGGGAAAAGTGTGTGAATAGGAGAAGGGAGTCCTTCAAAGAAACAAGGACCAATAACACAGCCACACAAAAAAAACATTCGGGCCCAGAGGTCAGACCATATTTATTACACGTATTTTGTGTCGCTGAATCCGAATCCGAGGTCTATTTAGCCCCATCACCTCAGGATTTTTCATAATCTCAAAATACCGATATTCCCAACAATTAAGCCATATAACCTCAAGACTCAAGCTTCCAATGCTAAATCCAATTAACGAAATCCCATAAACATTTAATTCAATGACATCCCAATCTAATAAGCCCATGAACCTAAACCCCAATACCCTATAACCCCATAAGCCCATAACCAAGGGAATAAATCATAGGCAATCTGCATTATTGCAAAACATACCCTAGTACTCAATACTTTACAGACTTTGTTGATTTAAATTATTATTTATTGTTTGTTTATTGTTTCATAAAAACAGTAGGTAATATGTATGAGAAATAATAGATCTTGTGATCCTTTTCAAGGTGTGTTTAAATTATTATTTTATTTATTTTCATATCTGGCATTTATATATTTTCTTTAAATCAATTATTGTTTTAATTTCTTTATATTTTTATATCAAATCAATCGCTAAAGTAATTGCATTTTCTTTGATTGATTGGTCTATAGGGATTACAATGTGTGTGTGCAATTATAACTTAATATTCCTATTAAATATACGGAAATTGGCACTAGAAAAAAATCCTTGGTATCATCACGCTTACAATATCAGACATGAATCATTTGTTAATCAGAGTAGATTTATAAAATATATCCCATAATCATATTCTCTACCTAAAAACCAACGAACTGATATGCATTTAACTTATTATCGTCAAAAATGTGCATATTTATTTATTAAGGTAGGTACAAAATGTTTATTTCAAACTATTGACTCTATTAATAAGTAAATCATTTAATTAAGCATATATCATCATATACCTACTTATTTCATTCATGAAAATATTTATTAAAGGAGTTTATAAGACGTGTTGGAGTGAAGTGGAAAATGAAAAATAAGGTTAAATTAAATATTCAATATTTAAATCAAAAGTGTTATTAATAGATTAAGTTAATTATTTTAAATTGCTACAGAAAGTATCAATCAG